TTTCTGTGCTTTGTTAAGTATCCCTCCTTGAGCCAGGACCACAGCTGGGTTGGGAGGTGAGGGAGGTAGAAAGCAGGAAGATAAATGCAGTCACAGCCTTCCCTGACACTGAGTGGGGAGAGGTGAGAACACATCCACTTCTCTATTTTCCTTGCCTGTTTTCCTGTGTGCCCTGACAAAAATGACTCATGCTGCCTTGCTTGGGGCAAGCCCTCCAGCCTCTGCCACCCTGTGGGCTATACCTATTCGAGCATGCATTTTTCTTTTCTCCAAAGGAGTCATTTTAGCTTGGTCAAGGTGTCAGCTAACAATGCAGACCCAACTACACGAAACTTGCTAACAAAGGTCAGTATGCCAAAGAACAGAGAGAGTTACGGGCAAAGGAAGACCACAGTTACAAAAGCTGCCAAGAGTTACAGAATCTAGGGCCTGTACAGCATCTGAGCTGTAGGTCACATTCTCCAGCATCGAGGCTTGCAATGCTTTGTTGGGGAGGAGGTTCTCTGGACAAATTATTTCCAATAGGTTACCTTGGGGGAAAACTCTTACCTTGTCCTCTGGAAATATTTCACAGCCTCAGAGATTATTATAGCTGTGGAGTCCACAGGGGTCATCTAGTGTGCGGGCTCTCAAACTTTGCTGCCCATTAGAATGACCTAGGGGTTGGGGTGTGGGGGCTTTACAAAATCCTGATGCTCAGAGCTCACTCTGACCCTATGACATCAGAATCCCTGGGGGTGAGGCCTAAGCATTGGTATTTATTAAATACTCCAGTGCTTTCTGGCACAGTCAAGTTTGGGAACCTGCAATCTAGATGCTTATCATTCCAAGTATGATCTGTGGTGCCACAGCACCACCAGAGATAATGGCATTTCAAAATAATTTGTAAGTATGCAGTTTCTACACAACTTTATCATCCACTAAAATTTAAAAATTGCATTCTCTGTTCAGCTGTTAATGCTGGGATCCATATTTAGTTTTGTAAGCTTTTCCCTGTTTTTAGTTTTGTTTTGGGTTTTTTGGCTCATGAATTTTATTTCTGTTTGTCAATAAGAAATGTAAGAGTAGAACGTTAATAAATTTCAATATAGTTCTGTAATGTCAAGGATTTAAGAATTAAATAAATGGATTGGTTAAAAAATGCTTCATATTTGAAAAAGCTGAGAATTGCTGTCTTAAAAAAATGCACATTCTTTAGTGTAATGGTAGACACATGACATTATATGTTTGTTCAAACTCAGAATGTACAACTCCAAGAGCAGCCCTAATGTAAACTGTGGACTTTGGGGGATGATGATGTGTCAGTTTAGCTTCATCATTTGTAGCAGATGCACCACTCTGGTTGGGGATGTTAATAATGGGGGAGGATATGTATCCACGGGAGCAGGGAGCATATGGAATATCTTTGTACCTTTCTCTCAGTTTTACTGTGAACTTAATAGTACTCAGATAAAGTTTAAGAAAAAAAAAAGAAATGCATATTCTTGGGTCCTACCATAGACCTACTGAGTCAGAATATGCATTTTAACAAGATTACCAAGAGACTTATAGATGCATTCAAATTTGATCCTTACTTTTCTTGGAAGATTGAAAAATCTGGCAACAAGGGGCCCAAATTCTTTCTCCAGAACTACCAGCTGGATTTGCATAGTAGCTGTCCTCTTTAAGGGGGATCTCCACTGTCCAGTTTGCCTCAGTTTCATGACTGGCTAGGTTCATTAACTTCTACTACCTACCTGGGCCTAGACAGATATTTTGTTTTTTTTTTTAATTGTGGTAAAATATATATATAATGAAATTGTGATGTGGTACATTCACAGTGTCATGCAACCACCCCCACCATCTAGTTCCAGAATATTTTTATCCCCTCAAAAGGAAACCCCTTATCTATTAGGCACTCACTGCTTCCTTTCTCTTCCTTTCAGCCCAGGGCAGCTACTAATCTGCTTTCTGTCACTGTGGGTTTGATTATTCTGAAAGTTTTATGTAAATGGAATCATATACCCTGTGGCCTTCCATGTCTGCCTTCTTTCACTTAACATAAGATTTTCAAAGTCTATCCATGTTGTAGCATGTATCAGCACTTCATTCGTTTTTATTGCTGAATAATATTTCTTTGTATGAATGTATTCTATTTTATTCATCCATTCATCAGTTGATGGGCAGTTGGGTAGTTTCCAGCTTTTGGTTATTGTGAATAGTGCTACGTGAACGTTTTGCATGCAAGTTTTTGTTTGCACACCTGTTTTTAGTTCTTTTGGGAATATAGCCATGAGTGGAATTACTGACTCATATGGTAATCTTATTTCGTATTTTGAGGAATAGTCAAATTGTTTCCATGGCAGCTGCACTAGTTTACATTCCCACTAATAATGTATGAGGGCTCCAATTTTTTTTTTACATCCTTGCCAATACTTCTTTTCTCTCTCTCTTTCTTTTCTTTCTTTCTTTCTCTTTCTTTCTTTCTTCTTTCTTTCTTTCTTTTCTTTCCTTTTCCTTCCTTCCTTCCTTTCTTTTTTATTCTAGCCGTCATAGTGGGTGTTAAAGACCTTAAAGGCCACTTTGATTAAGTCTCTTTGGGAGGTTTGAGAGCCATCTTCTAGTTTTTTAAGTTCCTTTCAGATAGTGGGGGCTGACTGAAAATGAAGTATAAATGAGTAGGTGGATTCTGCCCTCACCAGTCAACAGCCTTTAGGGCAGCTTTATCCATGCCAGCTAGGAGGCAAGTTGCCTGATAATCCCAATTGGGGTCAGTTCTGGGGACAGCTAGAGTCTCTATTGGGTTATGGGCAGCATCTTGTCGGTGGAGGGTGTTTGAATGGGCCTGAGTGGCTGTCTGGTTAGGCTCCCTGACCTCCGGGATGAGGGAGGGGGAGAGAAAGACATAAATGTCATGCCAGGCAAGGTCATAAGATTGAGTCGCACACAGAAATTCCTTTCAGAAGGAGGTGGGGTTCGTGGAAAAGGAGCCGAGTCTCTTTTTAAGCTGGGAGAGGTCGGCTAGGGAGAAGGGAACATGAACTTGGACTATGCCTTCGGCCCTGCCACCTTTACCAAGGAAAGGACTTTTGAAGACCTTTGGGTGTGGGAGTGGCCTTTGGCAAAAGGGGGTTGGGAGCAAGACCCAGTAGGCATTGGAGACTGAGTGGGGAGATGGAGGATAAGGGGGTGGGGGAGCGGAGCTGAAGCAGAAGGAAAAGGTATAAAGGAATGACGGTGGGAGGGGCACTGAGAGAGGGGGTTTGTTGGCAGGGTTGAAATCAGTGGAGGAAGGCTTGTCTGGAGATGTGAGGTGGTATCTGTGCCTTAATTTGCATTTTCTAATGACTAATAATGACTAAACACTTTTCATGTGTTTGTTGGCCATCTGTATATCCCCTTTGGAAAAATGTCGATTTAAGTCCCGTGCTCATTTTTAAATTGGGTTGTTTGTCTTTTTGTTGTTGAGCTGAAAGTGTTTGTTATAAATTTCTGGATACTAGACCTTTATTAGATATTTGATTTGCAAATATTTTCTCCCATTTTGTGGATTCCACCGCCCCCCCCAATTTTCTTCATAGTGTTCTTTGATGCAGAAAAGTTTTTAATTTTTTTTTTTGAGACAGATGTTATTGTGTTGCCCAGGCTGGAGTGTAGTAGTGCCATCACAGCTCACTGCAGCCTTGACCTCCCAAGATGGGTTCTTGTTACATTGCCTAGGTTGATCTTGAACTCCTGGGTTCAAGCAATCCTCCTGTGTTGACCTCCCAAAGTACTGGGAGTACAGGTGTTAGCCACTGCAACTTGCCAATTTTTTTTTTTTTTAATAGTGATGGGTCTCACTATGTTGCCTCAGCTTGTCTTGAGCTCCTGACCTCTAGTGATTGTCCTGCCTTGGGCTCCTAAAATGTTGAGATTACAGGTATGAGCCACTGTGCTCAGCCTAGTTCTTAATTTTGATGAAATGCAGTGTTTTTTTCTTTTGTTGCTTGTGCTTTTGGTATTATGGAATTTTAAATATTTTCACTTGGACAAGATCAATGGCTAGGAAGAAAGAAGGATCTGAGGGGAAGGGAGATGGGGATGGCTTGAGATTTCTATCTCCAGTTCAATCAGAAGATTTCAGCATGTAACTGCTTTATATAAGGTTTTGCAGCTTTATGTATATACGGCCAATAGATTAGAACTACTGAATTGTGTTTCTGAAACTTTAACCATTAAATATTAGTGGGAAACATCAGTGTGTCAGGTTGTCTTTCTAAAAGCCAGTCCTAAATGGTATAGGTAGTAATTAGAAGTTAATGTTTTCTCGTTTCAATTAAGTATTATTTGTAACAAAGAGAAAGCATACATTTTTGGGAAAGCCTGCTATTTTCTTTTGTTCCACTGGCCACACCTTTGGGAAGTCAGGATATTTGCCCCAGATCCAAACCCACTGTCTACCTGGCAGCAGCTCATCCTCACTGAAGGAATGTTCCATGGAAAAGATAGCCAACCTTATGCATTTCAGCCCTGGACCAAATGCTGCATTTGCCTGAGGTCACCCAGCAAGATAAGTGGAAGTTTCAAGCCAGGTTTTCTCATTTTAAATCTAAAGCTGTGTCTCTAGGCCTTGTATCCAACATAAAATCAGGGCTGTATGACTGGCACTACTGCAACTCACTGTTATCATTTTTTGAGGTCTTCTACATGCCAGGTATTGTCCTGGCAATCTCATCTTCCCAGCGACTCAGTAAATGGTTCCATAATTATCCTCATTTTACCACTGAACAAACTGAACTCGGGTTAAATAACTTGCCCAAGGTCACAGAGTTTTACTGTCAAGAGCTCAGACTTTGACTCGAAAGCCCATACTCTGAATCACCAAGCAAGACTTTAAAGGTGACCAGGTCCTGAGATATGATCTCATCAGCACAGACCCTTCTCCCAGCTGACAAGTGAGCAGGTAGGTAGGTGGGTACTCCTGGCTGTGCGCATGCCCAGACTCCGCCCAGCGCCCCTGCCGGCCACCCCGGTCCCCTTAACTGCGCAGGCGCTCTCACTCCAAAAGGCCGCTGGGTGAGCGCAGAGGCGGTGCAGGGCGGCGGACTCGCCTAGGCGCGCAGAGCGTGTGCGTGGCGTTGCGAGCTACATCCTCGGAGGGGGTCGGAGATGGCGGCGGCCGACGGGGCTTCGTCGGAGGCGGCGGCTTCAGAGCAACCCGCGGAGCTGCCTGCCTCGGTGCGGGCGAGTATCGAGCGGAAGCGGCAGCGGGCGCTGATGCTGCGCCAGGCCCGGCTGGCTGCTCGGCCCTACCCGGCGTCTGCGGCTGCGGCTACTGGAGGTTTGGGCCGCGGCGGCGCTTCCCCCTTCCCTCTCCCCGCCTCCCTGGTCCCCAGACTGGCTTGCGCAAGCCGAGTGCCGGGGTCCGGTGTCGCGTCAGCTCCGCTGGCGTCTGGGCTCAGATTCTCCCCCAGTCGGGGAGGGAATCCGCCCAGCTGGCTTGTCAAAGCGTTCTGTCTACGACCACAGAGCGTTCCGCGGTCGCACCTGGGCCTCCTGAGCCCCAATCCCAGACCTTCCTCGCTGCACCTCGGCTGCTCGGCTTCGGCTTTTCGTTTAGGGGTGCAGCCGCCCCCGCCGAGAGGTGCCAGCCAGTGCCAGGTGTCAGAACCTCAGCTGTCCCAGAAAGAGGAGTTAGACTAGTTCTTGGTTCTGAGCGATATACCTAGAACTAGTTGATGGAAGAGGCAGATCTTGGTGTTCGTTAGGGAGAACTTTCAACATTTGTAGTTGCCAAAAGTGCAATGGATTGCTTCTCGTGAGCGTCCCATTACTAGAAGCGCTCAAATAGGAACTGGAAGAACCCTTACTTATATGGAGGAGAGGAAATTTCAGCAATCAGAAGAAGGGACTGGATAGTAAACCTTTAAGATTCTAATCCCTGGATTCCATGAGTCTTTCTTGGACGTGCGACCTTGGCAAAAAGTAGATGCTCAAAACGTGTTTATTGAAGTAAATTAAGGACTGATCTCTCATTGCGAATTATTCTTTTATAGAATTTGTCACTGGGTCAACTAAATTTTTTTCAGGGTACTTGAAATATGGTTTGGTTGACAGGCTGTTCTTCAGGATTACCTCTGTAACATGAAGTACATGTGTTGCGAAAGTTCTGTACTGTACTGTGTCGAGCACAGTTTAGAGCTGTATTGTCTCTTACTGTTTTTTATCAGCCAGAAGTAGTGAGAGTGAGAAGAGTCTGAGGCTGGCAGCATATCTTGATATTCATACTAACACCGAAACTGCAAATTCTGGCTACTTTTGGTGGTACTGGTCTCATCCTTTGTGCTTTGTAGTGGTTTTCTTTTATTCTTTTCTCAGCTTGAGGCACGCTAGAGTCTGACAGGAAGTTCATTTGCCCTGATTAATTCATATTCTTGATTCCATAAAGGTTTCCAGGTTTATACTTCATGGCTGTGGAACAGAAGGTACAACATAGCAAAAACTGACATTAAATTAAACTTTTGAACATGGAAAGCAAGGTAGAATGAACATTCTGTAAGATTTCTTAGGCAGTTCCCCAAGAACTGAACTGTATTGTAGCATTGGGTACAACCCACCGTGTTTCAAGAGTTACGTAAGTGCCGGGATTTTTATCTTTGTGGTACTTTTATTTCATGGTACTATACGATTTTCTTCTTCTCTGTGTGCCATGACATATGCCATGAAAGAGACTGAAAAAAACTTGCTTAGAATATGAAGAATGGTGGTAAGGTCCTGGGGAAACAGCAAGGCATAGCAGCAGAGAGAAATTGGGCTTTGTTTTGGGCATGAGTTAGCATTGTTTAGGGTCCTGCTCAGGTCATGGCCTTGACTACTCCAGCTTTCCCTGTTCTTAATTCTCGTTGTGCTTACTGGCATTCCATTCATTTGCCTTGCTTTTTATATTACATATTCCGGTACGTTCATTCATTTCTGTCCATCCAGTCGGTACGCATGGAATGTTTACTCAGAATTACACAGGTAAAGGCACTCAGTCTAATGAAGGGATACAGCGATACAAACAGGTGTTATAGTGTGAGATACGAACAGGTGTTATAGTGCTATTAACAGTGGAGACAGGCTTATAATCTAATCCTTTCATTTAATAGGGGGAGAAATTGAGGCCAGAGAAGGAGAGTGACTTTAGCAGAATAAAACATATTGTCTTTTTAAATAAAGGGGGCCGGGCGCGGTGGCTCATGCCTGTAATCCCAGCACTTTGGGAGACCAAGGCGGGTAGATCATGAGATCAGGAGTTCGAGACCAGCCTGGCCAAGATGGTGATACCCTGTCTCTACTAAAAATACAAAAATTAGCCAGGCACAGTGGTGGGCATCTATAATCCCAGCTACTTGGAAGTCTGAGGCAGGAGAATCGCTTGAACCTCGGAGGCAGAGGTTGCAGTGAGCCGAAATCCACAGCAGTCTAGCCTGGGCAACAGAGCAAGACTCTGTCTCAAGAAAAAAAAAAAAAAAAGATAATTAAAAAATGGAGGTGTAACATACTGTAAAATGTACTCATCCGAATTTTACCTATGTAAATGGTTGTGTAAACACCATAGTGATCAAGATTTGTACACTTCCAGGACCTTAAAAGTTTTCCTGTGGCTCCTTCCTAGTCAGTGTCCACTCTCCACTCTCAAAGTAATACTCTTGTGACCATTTGATTGGTATTACCTATTCCCGAAGCTCATGTACATTGAACCATACAGTATCTGACTTTTTGTGCAACATAGTAACTGAGAGATTCACGCATTTTGTTGCATGCATTGGTAGTTTGTGCATTTATATGTTGTATAGATTCTTTTGTATTATGCCACAATTTTTCCATTTTCCTTTTGGTGGATATTTGGGTCGTTTCCACTTTGGGGCTGTTATGAATACAACCTCCATAAACATTCTTGTTTGTCTTTTTTTGTTTTTTCTACTTTTTTTTTAAAATTACATTTTAGGTTTTGGGGTACATGTGAAGAACATGCAAGATTGTTGCATAGGTACACTCATGGCAGTGTGATATGCTACCTTCCTCCCCATCACCTATATCTGGCATTTCTCCCCACGCTCGCTCTCCCCAATTCCCCACCCCCTGCTGTCCCTCCCCTATTTCCCCTCTACAGATCCCAGTGTGTGATGCTCCCCTCCCTGTGTCCATGTATTCTCATTGTTGAACACCCACCTGTGAGTGAGAACATGTGGTGTTTGATTTTCTGCCCTTGTGTCAGTTTGCTGAGAATGATGGTTTCCAGGTTCATCCATGTCCCTACAAAGGACACAAACTCATCGTTTTTGATGGCTGCATAGTATTCCATGGTGTATATGTGCCACATTTTCCCTGTCCATTCTATCGTCGATGGGCATTTGGGTTGGTTCCAGGTCTTTGCTATTGTAAACAGTGCTGCAATGAACATTCGTGTGCATGTGTCCTTATAGTAGAACGATTTATAATCATTTGGATATATACCCAGTAATGGGATTGCTGGGTCAAATGGAATTTCTGTGTCTAGGTCCTTGAGGAATTGCCACACTGTCTTCCACAATGGTTGAACTAATTTACACTCCCACCAACAGTGTAAAAGTGTTCCTATTTCTCCACATCCTCTCCAGCATCTGTTGTCTCCAGATTTTTTAATGATTGCTATTCTAACTGGCATGAGGTGGTATCTCAATGTAGTTTTGATTTGCATTTCTCTAATGACCAGTGATGATGAGCATTTTTTCATATGTTTTTTGGCCTCTTGTTTATGTCTTTTAGTGGACATACACACACACGTCTGTTGTGTATATGCCTGGAGATGGAATTGCTGGGTCATAGTAGAGTTGTAGTTATGTTAAGCTTTAGTAGATATTGCCAAACAGTGGTTGTATCAGTTTCCAATCTCACCAGCAGTGTACGGCAGTTCTAGTTGCTCCACATCCTCTCGCTCGGTATTGTCATGGTATCGTCAGTGTTTTTCATCTTAGACATTCTGGTGCGAGTCTAATGATACTTCTTTATGGTTTTAATTTGTATTGTCCCAATGATTAGAGATAATGAGAACCTTTTTTTGTTCTTTTGGCCATTTGGATATCCTTATTTGTGAAGTGCCTATTCAGATCCTTTGCCTATTTTTAGGAAAGTTGGGTTATTTGTCTTTTACTGATTTAGAGGATTTGATTATGTATTCTGAATGTGAGTCCTTTGTTAGACATGCATACATTAGTCCTCTCTTATCCAAGATTTCACTTTCTGTGGCTTTAGTTACCCACAATCAACCATGGCCCAAAATATGAAATGGAAATTTCCAGGTGTGCACGTGTGCACACACATATAACAATACACCCCACTGCTGGGGTTCTGGCTGAGATCACCTTGAATCTTTAGATAAATTTGTGAAGAATTGACATTTTTATAATACTGAGGTTTAAAATCCATACATAGTATATTTCTCCGTTTAATTATTTTGAGATGGAGTTTTGCTCTGTTACCCAGGTTGGAGCGCAGTGGTGCGACCTTGGCTCCTTTTCCTGGGTTCAAGCGATTCTCCTGCCTCAGCCTCCCAAGCAGCTGAGATTACAGGCCTCTGCCACCACGCCTGGCTAATTTTTTTATATTTTAGTAGTGATGTGGTTTCAATCATGTTGACCAGGCTGGTCTTGAACTCCTGACCTCCTCAGGTGATCTACCCACCTTGGCCTCCTAAAGCGCTGGCAGTACAGGCGTGAGCCACCGTGCCTAGCCTATTTCTCCATTTATTTAAGTCCTCTTTGATTTCTCTTAGTGCTTTGTAGTTTTCAGTGCAGAGATTTTACACATGTTTTCCTAGGTTTTTATTTCTTAATTCTAATTGTAGATTCCTGTGGCTATTTTACCTACATAATCACATCAGCTGTGAATGGATCCTGTTTTACTTCTTTCTTTTCATCCTTTGTGCCTTTTTGGTTTTCTAGCCTTGTTGCACTAGCTGGGACCTTCAGTATAATGTTGAATAGAAGTAATTATTGTGGACATCTATATGTTTGAGATACATTGAATTTAAAGGAATTTGCTGTTTATGCAGAAGGAAACATGTGGACTTACCTACTTTAATTGTTGACTACTTTCACTTACTTTCCTAGGCATGGCTAATGTAAAAGCTGCCCCAAAGATAATTGACACAGGAGGAGGCTTCATTTTAGAAGAGGAAGAAGAAGAAGAACAAAAAATTGGAAAAGTTGTTCATCAACCAGGTAAAGTGAGTTTTTCAAAAATAAGCATCTAGATTGGTTATTTTGAGTAACATGCATAATTCTATGCAAACTGATGCTAAATAAATGCCGTACTTTAATCGGAGTACATTTGTGATAAAGTTTGGCAGTTTTGCTGATAGAGTTAAAAAACAAACAAACAAAGAAACAGCCATGCATGTGGAAATGATTATTTAACTTGTGGCTGATGTACTTAGGGTTTGATGCTCTCTGTTGTTTTATAAAAGGCAGGGTTAGCCAGTATATTGGCTGTTAGAATAAATACTCAAAATTATCTTGATAGGACGAAATGAGGCACCAGAACTAAAGAGATAACATTTAGGACATTCTTTTATTTATCTGTGGAGAAAGAAAGCAGATTACAAAGTATAAGATAGACCAGCATAAAAAGAAAGCTATAACTATGATCTAAGGTTAGTGCTCTGGTAAATCACTTATATGTATACATATCTTCACAGTGAGGATACTTTCACACTCTTTGGGAAGAAAATAGAAATGCTTTATTTTGTTCATAAGTTTGGCAGCCAACAGTGCAATATAACAGCTTAAAAAAACCCACAAAACCCTATTCTAGTCTTTAGTTGCAGCTACAAAAGTGTTGTGCATCCATGTAGGTGGTTGCCCTGCTCTAATCTGTGTGTGCAGAAGCTGAGACTTGAAGGATTAAAATGTTTGTTTTTATTTGCACCAGGGACTGGTTTCATGGAAGACAAAACCTGGGGTGGGGTGGAGGGGCGGCAGGTATGGTTTCAGCATGATTCAAGCACATTACGTTTTATTGTGTACTTTATTTCCATTATTATTACATTGTAATATATAATGAAATAATTACACAACTCTTGCTTATGGTAGATTGCCAGTTTCTGAGTGGTAAATGTAAAAGGGAGTGACAGAGTTTGAAAATCATCATTGTGTTTATTTAGGAATTCCCATTATAAAGAATGTTTTAAATTAGAAAACTGTACATTGTATATGTTTTGATTAATGGTGCAGTAGCTTCCTAATTGGTATTTCTACCACAGTTTCTCTACATTCTAATGCATCCTGGTAATTTTTTCAAAGATACCGCTTTGATTATCACTAACCCTGTTCCAAAATTTTTAGTTTTTCCTTTTGTCTATAGCTGTGCTCCTCTTAATATTCTACAGAAAACCATTTTTTTTAAAGTTTGGAGATTAGTGTGTTAGAAGGAGGTAAGGGAAGGCAGTGATAGGAATATTTTGAAATAAATAGTTAATAAATGACAACTCCCTTTATCTTGCCTTTTTTTTTTTTTTTTTTTTTTTTTTTTATTTTTTTTTTTTTTTTTTTTTTTTTTTTTTTTTTTTTTTTTTTTTTTTTGAGATGGAATTTTGCTCATGTTGCCCAGGCTGGAGTGCAGTGGCATGATCTTGGCTCGCTGCAACCTCGGCCTCTGCAACCTCCGCCTCCCAGCTACAAATGATTCTCCTACTTTAGCCTCCCGAGTAGCTGGGATTATAGGCGCCCACCACCATGCTTAGCTAATTGATGCCTGGCTAATTTTTGTATTTTTTGTAGAGACAGGATTTTGCCATGATGGCCAGGCTGGTCTCGAACTCCTGGACTCAAGTGATCCACCCACCTTGGCCTCCCAAAGTGCTGGGATTAGAGGCACTAATCCCAAGTCACTGTGCCCAGCCTTACTAGTAAAATTTATAAAAGTACTAGGAGAAACAATTCTTAAAAGTTCCTTAGCTAGGCATTTGAAGTCCTTAAATAACTTAGCTTTACCTTACTTAGAGTGGTTTTTCTGTGCTGGGAGTTGAGGATACATGGCTGAATACAGTCTCTCCCTTCAAGGAGTTTATAATCCAGTAGGTGAGACAGATAAAGAAGAAGCTATTTGCTTTGTTGGTAGGAGGTAGAATGAAGGAGAAAAAATTTTTCCATTTGGAAGTGAATTCTGTTGTTGTCTCTTTTCTACTATTACCATGCTCATTATTGCTCTTTCCCGTGTAATGTTGGTGCCCTGTGTGTAAGCAGATCCCTTTTCACCCTACCACTTTGGGACTAATCTCTTTTGTACTTTCAACAGTGCTGTTGTAGGCAGAATAATGGCCCCCAGGGATGTCAATGCCTTAATTACCCTGGAACCTATGAATATATTATCCTTATCATAGCAAAAAGGACTTTGCAGATATGATTAAGGTTAAAGACATTGAGATGGGGAGATTATCCTGGGTTATCGAATGTACACACAAGTTTCCTTAGAAGTGGAAGAGGGGCCAGGCGAGGTAGCTTATGCCTGTAATCCCAGCACTTTGGTAGACCAAGGTGGGTGGATCACATGAGGTCAGGAGTTCGAGACCAACATGGTGAAACCCTGTCTCTAATAAAAATACAAAAATTAGGGCTGGGCATGGTGGCTCATGCCTGTAATCCCAGCACTTTGATAGGCTGAGGCAGGTATATCACAAGGTCGGGAGTTCGAGACCAGCCTGGCCAATGTGGTGAAATCCCATCTCTACTAAAAATACAAAAATTAGCCTGGCCTGGTGGTGTGTGCCTGTAATCCCAGCTACTCAGGAGGCAAAGGCAGGAGAATCACTTGAACCTGGGAGGCGGAGGTTGCAGTGAGCCAAGATCGCACCACTGCACTCCAGCCTGGGTGACAGAGCAAGCTAAACCGCCCCCCACCCCCCAAAATTAGGCATGGTGGTGCACACCTGTAATCTCAGCTACTTGGGAGGCTGAGGCAGGAGAATTGCTTGAATCCAGGAGGCAAGGGAGGCGGAGGTTACAGTGAGCCAAGATTCCATCACTGCACTCCAGCCTGTGCAACAGAGCAAGACTCCATCTCAAAAAAAAAAAAAAAAAAAAAAAAACAGTAGAGGAAAGCTGAGAGTCAGAGGGACGTGTATTATGGAAGAAGTGAGTGCTGCAATGTGAGAAGCCATCACTGCTGGCTGTGAAGATGGAGGAAGGGGTCATGAGTCAAGGAATGCAGGCAGCCTCTAGAAGCTAGAAAAGGCAAGCAGATGGATTCTTGCCTAGAGGCTCCAGAAAGGAATGCAGACCTGCCAACACCTTGATTTTAGCCCACTGAGACCCATGTCAGAATGGTCTAGAGATCTGTGTGATAATAAATGCATGTTTTAAGCCACTCAGTCAATGGTAGTTTCTTATAGCTGCAGTGTAACACTAATACAAGTACCTTGCACACAGCTGGGATTCAGAAATACTTGTTGAATTGCTAGGTTTTTTTCTTTGTTACTTCCTTTTCTTTTTCCTCTTTAAAAAATTGTTTTTATAGATAAACATAATCAAGATCTTATTTGGTCTTTTACTTAAATATATTTATGGTAGGCATAACATGCATGCTAAGCTAATAAGATAGAGGAGAATATATTGTTCTAGTCATAAAAAAGGAAACTTAGAGTTCATTTTCCTTTTCTTAGGACCTGTGATGGAATTTGATTATGTAATATGTGAAGAATGTGGGAAAGAATTTATGGATTCTTATCTTATGAACCACTTTGATTTGCCAACTTGTGATAACTGCAGGTACTTATTTTAGATGGTGTTCTTAATTGCCAATGTTTATGTGTAGGTTTAGGACAAAACAAGTTATATCTGTTTGGATGTGATATTTTCTTAATAATTACGATTTTTATTTTGGGCGTTTCCTAAAATTTCTTTGGTTTCTACTTTACCAAATACAGTAGATCTGTGCGTATTAAAGCTTATGATATACCCCATAAAATAGGAAGGATGCCAGTGGTTCTGCCATATAAATTTCCTTTTCCCTTCTGGTGGCCTGAGTTTGTTTTTGTTTTTAAACATCTCTCAGTGGCAGACTCCCAACACTTCTCTTCTCCCAGCCCTAATGATCCCTCTATATCTTAATTATTCCAGGGTGTGTTTATACCTGGGTCAGAAGACTGGGGCCTTCAGTGAGAGGACAGTAGCTCATAATACCTTTTTTCATTCGTCTTTTTCTACCCTCATCGATGAGGAAAAATCATATTCTTCCCTTCTTTTTCTTCTTCTAGACTTTATCCTCTTTTTATATCATCCACAATAACCTTTCTCAGTTCACATGGTTCTCCTATCGCTACTGTTTACTCAGCCAGATGCTGTTGATGTCTTTTGCACACTGAAGGTCCTATCCTGGAATCTTAGTTGGCCCTCTTATCTGTTCCCTGTTCTTACTTTGTCCCTACAGCCTTAAATCAGCTCCTCACCTGACTGAAGGACCTACCCTTTCAAAGTCCCTTCTGCAGACATTGGGAGCCATCATGATTGGCTTGTTGCTGAGTGGAATCTTCAGTAGATAGAGGGAGGTGTGGTCCCTGGCCTCATGATCAAATATACAGCTGGGAATGTTCTGGCACCGCAGCTGGAAATATAGATGACAAACTCATTTCCCACTGACACAGTGGTTAAGGTCCATAGTCTTGTCATCATTCTCCTTAAAGCCAGTATAGCTTTTGGGAACTGAAACACTCCATATAATTTATTTCCAAGATAAAATGGAAGCAGCCGTTGTACCAGTTTAAAGATAAAGTTTTGAATATATTACCTTGCCATAGCAAAAGGGACTTTGCAGATATGATTAATGTTAAAGACCTCAAGATGGGGAGATTACCCTGGGTTATCCAGGTAGACCCAATACAACAAGCACATGAGCTTTCTTAAAAGTGGAAGAGGAGAGCTGAGGGTCTGAGGGACATTCAATTATGGAAGAAGTGAGTGATGCAATATGAGAAGCCACCATCACTGGCTGTGAAAGTGGAAGGAGGGCGTCCTAAGTTAAGGAATGCAGGTGGCCTCCAGAAGCTAGAAAAGGCAAGGAGATGGATTCTTACCTAGTGCCTCCAGAAGGAACGCAGTCTCTGCCAACACCTTGAAAAGTCTGGAAACGTTACACTTTTATGTTTAATCATTATCAGGAACATAGTCCTCCATTCTTTTTCAACATCAAGATTATAGTTATAGTACAGTATAGTCTGCATGTCTCCCGTTAGTTTATACTTCTGAATTATTTAGCTTTCATACAGCTATTCCTAGTTTTAACTTTTATGGTTTTGTGACAGAATCCTCTGATAGAAACTTTGATTTCTCCCCTCCCTGACCTGTACCTGCTCTTTAGTGTTTACCATTTCAGTAAAGGCAGCTTCATTCACTGGCTATGTCTCCACTCTCTTGTGTGTATTAATTCCAAACCTGTTTGGCTCTATGCTCAAACCATATCCTGAATCCATCTGCATCTCCTCCTCTTCCACTGCTGCCTTAGCCTAGGCCACCACCAGCTCCTGCCTGGACCACTGCAGTAGTGTTGTAACTGGTCTCTTCCCAACTACCCCTTTCACACCCCTAGGGTCTCCTCTTCATACAATATTTTGCTTAAAACTTGGTTTCTAATCCCATTTAGAATAAAATTTTCTTCACCATTGCTTGCAAGGCCGACTGTCTCTGACTGTATCTCCCACCACTCCTCACCATCACTTGTCTTCTAGTTACACTGGTCCCTTGCTGTGTGCTCCATTTGCAAAGTACACCCCTGCCCTAGAGCCTTTGTTAGGAATGTTTCTTCTCTAGATAATATAATTTATTAGAATAAGTAAAAGATAAAGTATTTTTCTGTTAGAATTCCTATGTTGCTAATTTAACCATGAGAGTTGCAGGAAAATGTGTATTATTTATGTGCTTTTTTGCTGTGGGTGCCCCTAAGTTGATGGGCTATTTGCAATTTATTTAAAATAACTAACTTATATAATAAACTTAATCTGTTTTCAGAGATGCTGATGATAAACACAAGCTTATCACTAAAACAGAGGCAAAACAAGAATATCTTCTGAAAGATTGTGATTTAGAAAAAAGAGAGCCAGTTCTTAAATTTATCGTGAAGAAGAATCCTCATCATTCACAATGGGGTGATATGAAACTCTACTTAAAGTTACAGGTCTCTAATAAGTTGTATTTATTAATTTTAACTCTGGTAAAGTTTTAACAACAAACTAGTTGTAATTAGTTTGGTTTTTGCTTACAGAGTGTGAAAAAACTCTTTCCCTAGTTTTGCATATGTGTGACAGTCATGCATAATGACATTTAGTAACATGTTTTCTCATTCATTTTTCAAATAAAATTTGAAATAAAATTTTACAAAAAAAGCAAAATGAGAAAACATGTTACTAAATGTCATTATGCATGACTGTCACAGGTATGCTATTTTTTTTTTGCGAAAGGTCTTACTCTGTCACTCAGGCTGGAATGAGGTCACAGCTCACTGCAGCCTTGACCTCTCGGGCTCAGGTAATCCTGCCTCAGCCTCCTGTGTAGCTTGGATTACAGGCACATGGCACCATACCTGGCTAGTTTTTGGTATTTTTTGTAGAGATGGGGTTTTGCCATATTGCCCAAGCTGGTCTCGAATTTCAGGGCTCATGTGATCCTCCTGCCTTGGCCTTCCAAAGTGCTGGGATTACAGGCGTGACCTGCCATGCCCGGCCTCATTTTGCTTCTGATATGGCACTTTGAAATAAACATGTTGCTATTGGGTGATGTTAAGAGTACAATTTGGAAACTAAAACAGGGCATGACTCCCATTCCAGCCTTTTTTAGTTTCCAAATTGTACTCTTAACATCACCCAATAGCAACATGCCTTCTTATCACTTGATGCTTTTATTTTATACTTAGTGAAATAGTGCCATTACTTTATTATAGTTTTTTGTCATATATCACAACTTTTGCATACGTAAAAGGGAAAATGCAAGTGCAAAAAGACTTAGTAAGGTATTCCTAAACTTCTTTACATTGAGTTCAATTCTTCTGCACCACTTTTGGACTCAGAATTTTTAAGTACTTTGGTGAGGCAGCATTTTCAGGGATGTTAAATTATGGAAAACATGATGTCCCAAAATCTATGAAATACAAGTATATCACTTGATTATGTTAAGAAATTTGAGTTTGGCTACACTGATTAATATTATGGTCCTTTTAACATATTGTGAGAGGTATCCTGGGCATAATTCTTAGTGTGTAAATTATTCTCTTAAAATGTAAGTAAATATTATAAAGAGTAAAGGAATATAATGTAAAGTTTTAAAAGTAGAATGAAGACTTTTATTTTGGTACCAAAATTGAAATAGATATCCTGCAGATCATAAGTCGATAGAAACAATTATTGATCTTGAAGGAGATGAGTAGTGGTAATTGGTAATTTCCTGTGGTTGGAGATTTTTGGAGATGACCTCATGTTTAGGTCTGATTTGGCTAATCTGTCAACAGACTTTCTTTGGTGAGCCTGCCACAGTTGGTGAAACTCACTGACCACATGTACTTTTGATTCCTGTGACAATACAGTCAGAGGACAACTTCTCTATTTATAATGTAATTCAGCATACATTTACTGAGAGTTTTATAGTTTTAGATAGATGTTTTATTAGACTTGTTTCTGATCATTGCTATTTTAAATCTTTAAATTTCTAGTAAATAGTTATTAATTTATACTTAGATAATTCTTTGGTACCTGTGGATTTGATGATTATAACTTTATAATATTTTGCAAGTCTGAATCACAACTCATTTAAATGTGGATTTTGTGTTGTAGATTGTGAAGAGGTCTCTTGAAGTTTGGGGTAGTCAAGAAGCATTAGAAGAAGCAAAAGAAGTCCGACAGGAAAACCGAGAAAAAATGAAACAGAAGAAATTTGATAAAAAAGTAAAAGGTAAATGGCCACATTTTATATCATGAAGGATTGTGTTTTACCATTTCTCAAAAAGCCTTTAGCTAGATTCTTCCTGTTTAATGTCACCAATAGATTGGAATGTGATTTTTAGAGGATGATAATGACTTAAGTTTGCCCTCAGTATGTTGGTCTTTAAGGCACTCAGTTCAAACCTCACAGTACTACATTTCTGAAAAGATGTATGTCATCATCTTAAAGCGAATCGTGTTTTTATATAGGAACAATGTGAGTATCAGGAGTGGTATCACTGGTCAAGGATTTGGCATCAATTAAATCTTAAGTATGATCATCAGTGTTATAAAAAACACCCACCAACAAACCTCTCTAAGTGCTTAAAGTGAAAAGCCATGCCCTAAGTCTTAGTTCTCTAATTCAGCAGCTAGAAGACCACTTTTATTTTACATATGACCAAAAGACCCAGAAAGGTGGGGTGACTTGTTACATAGTTGTTGGCAAAGTTGGGACTGGAACCGGGCTTTTTTGACTGAAAGTCTCCATGAAGTAGTCATTTCTCTATCCATGTGTCTGTCTCTGCATGCTTTCCCTTGTCCATCTATCTCTGCATTAATTTGTCCCTGTTATCCAACCATGTATGTACGTCTGTTAATTCTATCTTTTCATCCATCAATGCATCCAAAATGTCAACTATGTGCCAGGCACTGTGCTAAAATAACATAAATGTTGGAGTCAGTGTTTGTCAGGAGGGAAACTTGAAATTGTCCAAATGTGCTAGGTACTGTGATAGTGATGAACATGCAGTGCTGCAGGATCACAGAGGTCACTCTCTGCTCTATCTCAGAACCGCTAAAAGTCTCAAAAAAGTAAACATAAATGTTCTTCATGCGGTAATTATGCAGAATCCCACTGTAGTGTTCAGTTTGTAGAGATAACACATTTTGTGTATTTATTGGGTTTTTAATATACGGTATACTAAATTAATTCACTTAAAATGAACGTCCTGCCGGGTGTGGTGGTGCACACCTGTAATCCCAGCACTTTGGGAGCCAAGGCAGGCAGATCATGAGGTCAAGAGATCGAGACCATCCTGACCAACGTGGTGAAACCCCATTTCTATTAAAAAATACAAAATTAGTTGGGCTTGGTGGTATGTGCCTGTAGTCCCAGCTACTCAGGGAGCTGAAGCAGGAGAATCGCTTGAACCCAGGAGGCAGAGGTTGCAGTGAGCTGAGACCCTGCCACTACAGTCCAGCCTGGGTGACAGAGTGAGACTCCATCTCAAAAAAAAAAAAAAAAAAGAGTCCTACCATAAAATTTTGCTTTTGTTTTTAGGATTCAGAAGTGGTTTTGGAGGGTGAATAAGATAACTCAGATATCTTAAACACAAAAACGCAAAACCAAAAATTGAATGTAAGCCTTCCTTGTTGTGAGGAACACAAGTTGTTGTTGTAATCCTTGTCACTTGGAGGATTTATTTTTCCTTTGTCATTACAATTGTAATTCAATTAGTGCAGAAAAGTTAAGAGATTTACAGAGAACCCTTACTGCATGATTTTCCTAAGAGACAGTCATCAGCAACACTTTTTTTTTTTTACTCTTCCTGTGCTTTTCTATGGTAAGACCCTTAAAAATTTTTTAAATAAAAATGGAAGCACTATTTGACACAAAGTTTAGCAAGCAACTCTATGATCAACATCGTTATATAGATCTTTTTATATAGTTACTTAGCAATCCCTAAATCACTAGGTAAGGCACACTTTCATGGCTTTGTAGAGAGGTTTCCTATAGCAAGTTATGCCATGTAAGAGCATTTCATTAAAGAACCTTCCCAAAATTAGCCACTGCTGTACTGAGAGGATTTGAAAAGAGTTCTTTTGAATTTAGCCCTTTAATCTTTTCACTGCCCCACACCAGTCCTTCTCTTCCAGTAGCAAGGAGAACCTTGAAAGACAAAGTAGTGAAAAGGCATTTTAAGAGGTGTGAAATGGTGGAGAGAGTTATAGATTAGTTATATACTAGCCTAGGTTTTTTTGTTAATTCCAGCTACCTGAAATCACTTCAACTCTTGATTCTCTGCTGCCTCCTTAACCACTTCCAGGTGGTATTTTGGTGCAGATAATAATATATAGATAAAATAGTATTAATTAAAAACCTGTATCTGCAAAGTGGTGAGGTATTTTTTAGAAGGAGGGCTGTCTGTACTTTTTTCTTAGATACTAATTCTGTAGTTTGGTTACAGTGTCATCTAATGGTAACTAAATTCCTGTAATTTGACTAGCAGATTGAAAGATGATGGCATCCATTTCATCACATACTTTTTTCTATAAAAATTCTATGCAGCATATATATTATTAGTATGAACAGAACTCTTAAAAAAGATTTAGGTTTTATTGGTATTACTTTATAAAGAAAGATACGAACTTTACAATTGGCTTTTTTTCTCATTACATTAAATTGCTGCTGTTAATCACCAGATAAGCTACTGTCAATTGTCCTCATTTTTGAAGAGTTTGAGCTTGCCCTGAAGCTCAGACTTTTCATAGAGTTAGACCTCTTGGGTCTTGTTTCTTTATTTCAGTTCGCTTTTTATTTGAATGAAGCATGTCTTTTGAGAATATTTTCCCAAGTGGTAACATGAGTGATATATTTTCCAAGTCTCTGTAAATAGAAGTGTTTTTCTAAGTTGTTTCTCAGTTCAGTAACATTCCTCCATGGTCTTCTGGTGTTTAATGTGCAGAGAGGTCAGTGTGATGCCTTCTTTAATTATGGCTTCTTGTTGATTTACTTTAGAAGTTGTTCCTGCCTTCCTGAATAGGCCACAAAGGGCTGAGATTGGAGTAGACACTGTAGAGATTAGACACAAGAAGCTTACTGTGCAGTTTTCTCACAAGGCTCAGAACAGAGAGGAATAAAAGCAAGTCTAAAAGTATTTTAGTTGAAAAGAAATTGGAACCTGGTTCCTCTTGGTCTTCTGATTTTGATCCACAAAGAAGCTGACACAGTTTACTTCTTTCTGGGAAGGTAAGAGATTATATTTACCTGCTTTTAAAATATATCTTCTACTTTAGCAGTTGGAGAATTTATCTTACTACAAAAAGAATTTTACAGTTGAAATAGTATATGTATATATATATGTGTATATATATATATCTGTATTTATATATCTGTATCTAGATACATAAAAATAAGGTGAAAGACAAGAGTTTTCTTGTTAGTGAATTCAAATTGTTACAGATTTTAGATATAAGAAGGCAGAACTGCTGTCCAGTCTTTTAACTGCTATCAAAACTCTGTATCAAAATATTCAAAGAACCTATTGAAATTTAAAGAGTTCTTTTGAATTTGGCCCTTTTCTTTAATCTTTTCAATGCCCTACACCAGTCCTTCTCTTCCAGTAGCAAGGAGCCTTGAAAGAAGTAGCAAACAGGCATTTTAAGGAATGTGAAAGAGTGGACAGTTATACATTACAGAAATGAGTTATAGATTATAGAAATCAGTTTTGATTTCAAAACTTCCGTATGCACTGGCCTTGATATTAGACGGGAACATTCAGCTGGTTCAAATGTACAGAACGTTTTGGGTTTGCTTGCCAACTCTATAAATAAGGTAGAGTTAAAGCTTTTCTTTTGTTATACTAGCTTTCTCTTATTTAGTACTGGTAGAGGTTACCCTTCTAAAAAAGGAAAATTGATTTTCATTATTTATTACTATGTACTTTCCTCCCAAAAGAGGTAGGTAAGAAATTGGGGGACCCCAAATTTGTAGGTTTTATATATTTTGGGCCTGTGGTTATATTTATGACCCTTTGGGGTCATCTCTCAAGAGTTTGGGAGACTCAATTCAGTTTCTCTGCATTAGTTTATGGAGGAAAAACTAAGACCAAAGAGTCATTTTGTTATTGTGTTCTTTCCTTGTAATTCTTTTTCTCCTGTTAACAAGGGGCATCATGAGTCAATACCTCCTGCCCTGCCATAAAGTATTCAGAAGTATCTGGTCTCTCTCAGCTACTTGTCTAGTAAGTTTACCTCAGAAGCAAGCAGCATTGGGTTTCTTTGAATACAGACCGCCTCTTTTGCAAAATCAAGATGTTAAAAACTGAATACAAGCTTTAGATTGGTATAAAATTTTCATTAAAAATGGTTTTAGGAGAAAATTATTTTGTATAAAAAGTGTAAGCAGTGTCTGAATATATTAGTAAGACTGGTTACCATGAAAATTTTTATAAATTTCCACAAAAGGCAGTCCTTAGTTAATAGCTTCCAGCATTGTGAAATTCTAGGCCAGTGACTAGGAGGTTGTAATGTGGTGAACCACTATTTTGTCTCCAGCTTCAGTTAGGCTTTCAGCGCTGTGTAGGACCTGCACCCTCCCAGGTTTCCTCAGCTCCACCAAAATCATTTCAGATCTACAGACCTTTTCCCACTCTAAGTGTTACCTTTCTTTTAAAACTACCCCCTTCTCATTCTTAGCAGTAGGTAGTTGATATCTGCTTTCCAAAGTTTTGTTAAATGAATTAATGTGAAAAAATTATTAATGTTAAGTTTTACCTAATGTTGACATTCGCCATATTTTTTTCTTTCACACACACATATTTTGCCAAGCCATGTAAGTTACTTGCAGACATTGTGATTTTTTTTTTTTTTTTTTTTTTTGAGGTGGAGTCTTGCTCCATTGTTAGGCTGGAGTGCAGTGTTGAGATCTTGGCTCGCTGCAACCTCCACCTCCCGGGTTCAAGCAATGATCCTGCCTCAGCCTCCCGAGTAGCTGGGACTACAGGCATGTGCCATCACACCCTGCTAATTTTTGTATTTTTAGTAGAGATGGGGTTTTACCATGTTGGCCAGGATGGTCTTGATCTCCTGACCTCGTGATCTGCCCACCTTGGCCTCCCAAAGGACTGGGATTACAGGAGTGAGCCACCGTGCCAGGCCTGTGGGTCTTATAAATATTTCAGCATGTTTCTCCTCAAAACAATGGCATTCGGCTGGGTGCAGTGGCTCATACCTGTAATCCCAGCACACTGGGAGGCCGAGGCGGGCAGATCATCTGAGGCCAGGAGTTCAAGACCAGCTTGGCCAATATAGTGAAACCTTGTTTCTACTAAAAATACAAAAATTAAAAATTAGCTGGGCATGGTGATGTGCGCCTGTAATCCCAGCTACTCAGGAGGCTGTAGCAGGAGAAATGCTTGAACGCGGGAAGCAGAGGTTGCAGTGAGCTGAGATTGCACCACTGCACTCCAGCCTGGGTGTCACAGCAAGACTCTGTCTTAAAAAGAAAAAAATGGCATTCTTCTATAGAACTAAAGATCAATGATCATAGTCAAGAATTTTAGCTTAATATAATGCTCCTGTCTTGCGCATAATTTAATATTTCCCAGTTGTTTTGATGTCCTTTATAGCTGTTGGATCTAGGTACTATTCATGGATGATGCATATTGGTAGTTGCTTTGAAACTAGTCCCTCAGTCTGTCTTTCATGACATTTTGCAGTGCCCAGGCCAGCTGCTGTTCAGTGTGTCCTTCCATTTAGATTTGTTAGCTGCTTGTATCCTCATGGTTAGGCTCATGTCGAACGTTTTTGGTGGAAATACTTAAAAGGTGATGTGTTTGAGCACTTATCCATAGACACATGGTACCAGCTCTTTGAAGGGAGTGGTAGTTTGCTTAGTTAAACTGGTGTCTGCCAGGTATTTCCACTGTAGAGGTAGTCTTTATCCTTTGTAATTAGTGAGAAATCTAATACTATGTGAATATCTCATTCCTTACCTTTCACGCTGGTTTTAGTACACAGGGCTGAGTCTTACTTGAGTTGGTTATTATTTTGGTGGATATAAATGGTGATTTTCTATTTCTGTCACTTTCTACAATTGTTATTTGGGTTTTGGAAAAAAGAGTTTTTCTTCTCCTTTTAAAAACTGATTTTTATTTTTTTTTTAAGCATCAGCTGGACTCATGGTTTCTTATTCTGAAGTCAGTGTATTACAGTTCATTCTGGTCATTACTCATTTTGGTGTTCAAATTGTCCAAAATTTGGCCAGTAGAATCCCCTTCAAGCTAGCGCCTGTCTTTTTAAATTATTTTGTTTGGAAATAATTTCAAACTTATAAAAAATTGCAAGGATAATAATATAAAGGGCCACTTATATATCCTTTATCCAGATTACTTACTGTTAACACTTGATGCTATTTGCATCATTTGGATGCTCTTTCTATACATATACAGTATTTTTTTCTGACCATTTAAGACTAAGTTGTTTATATCACTACCTTTTACCCATAAATATTAGTATATATTTCCTCATAGGGATATATATTCTGTTACATAACCAAAGTATATTGTTAACTTGAGCAAATTTAACATTTAGTGTTTATGTCTAATCTGTCCTCCATATTCTAGTTTTGTTAGTTGACTTAATGTTCTTTTTAGCGATTCCTTTCTAGAACAGAATTCAGTTCAGGATTGTGTGTATTGGCTTTAGAAAGTACCAAGTCTTTCTAAACTTTTATTCTGGGATATTTACATAGCCTTATTGTTTTTAAGACATTGACATTTTTGAAAAGTCTGGTTCCCTTGCCCTGCCTTTTAAAACATGCTTGTCACTTGGGGCAGTTTCTGGTGTGTCCTGCTGATTAGATGCAGGTTATGCATTTCAGGCCAGGGATAGTACGTAAGTGATGTGCTTTTCTCATGGCCTCGTATCTGGAGGCACTCATGTCTAAGCAGCCCTCAGTGGTAACTCTGATTTTTGATTTGGCAAGCAAAAAAAAAAAATTGTATCCTCCTAGATTTAGTATCCATTGATGATTCTTGCTAGGACGTCTTTAGTATGATGGTTATAAGAACTGTCTTCTAATTCCAGCATTCCTTCTGCATTTAAGCAGTTGGCAGTCAACATTCTATAGCATCCTTTGCCCTATTTACTTATTATTGATAAGGATTCATTAATTTGTTTTTCTCCAGTGGCTTTGGTTCATTTCTGTCCTTATTTTGGTGCTCAAATGGTCTGATTTGGCCTAGTGACTAGCTTTTTTATCTTTTGACATGTCATTTAAAAATTTTTTTTTACTTTTGAGACTAAGTCTAGCTCTGTCACCCAGGCTAGAGTGTAGTGGCACAATCTCAGCTCACTGCAACCTCCACCTCAAGCAATTCTCCTGTCTCAGTTTACCAAGTACGTGAGATTATAGGCGCATGGCACCATGCCCAGCTAATTTTTCTATTTTCAAGAGATGGGATTTCACCATATTAGCCAGGCTGGTCTCAAACTTCTGGCCTGAAGTGATCTACCCACCTTGGCCTCCTCAAGTGCTAGGATTATAGGCATGAGGCACCGTGCCCAGACTTAGGTCATTTCTTCAGCATTCCTTTCTGCTTTCTAGCACAGCATGTGTATCTGTATTTGTGTCTGTCTATAGATATATGTAAAGTAAACCTTGAGTTTACACTGATATATCCAGTTCTAATCGGAAATTTCATGGTTTTATGGATGACGAGAAACCTGGGTCCTGTGATCCTTACTATAGTGACTTGATCAAAGCCCTGTGACTAATTCCCATGACTGTTGCTGCCTCCTTTTCTGGAGGGAGCCCTTTTTCTTAGGCTCTCTCACTCTGCTGTGGATGCTTAGTTGCTCCAGTTAATGGCTTTAGGTCCAAATTGTTCAGAAAGGGAAAGGATGAAAAAAAGCCCAAACCTATTTATTTTTAAATACTTTTCTTTTCTTTTTTTGAGACAGTTTGTCACCTAGGCTGGAGTGCAGTGGTGCAGTCATGGCTCATGGTGGCCTCAACCTCCATGGCTTAAGTGATCCTCCTACTTCAGTCTCCTGAGTAAGTGCGACTACAGGCACGTGCCACTGTGGCTGGCTAATTAAAAAAATTTTTTTTTTGTAGAGATGGGGGTTTCACTATGTTGCCCTGGCTGGTCTTGAACTCTTGGGCTCAGGTGATCCTCCAAAGTGCTGGGATTACAGGCACAAGCCACTGCACCTGGCCCCAAATACTTCCTTTCTGGCACAACTTTTTCCAGGAATGTCTAGTAAATATTAAACATATGGCTTTATTCTTATTATACAGCCTGACACAATAGCTGAAGAATGGGGAGAAAAAGTCAAAGTCAATGTAAAACCTTGGGTTCAATTATGGCTAGAAAGACCGATTTTGACTACAAGTATTTTTTTTAGTATTCAGAAAACTTTTCTTTGGTACCTCTTAAGTACACATGACATATTCAAATTAGGCAGAAAAGTTAGTTGGCATGATTGGGCTGCAGTGAAATTTTGTAGGATTTTCAGTGGGATAATCATGCCAAGATGTCTTGCATGAGAACAAAGTTGAAAAGCAGGTATTAGAATTGAAGTAGGCAACATCTTCCTTAAATTATCTGAAACCAGGAGGCATCTGTGGAGTTTTGGTTAGCATATCATTTATGTCTTATTTAGAAAATAGCCTAAGGTAAAATTTAAAGGAAGGAGGGCATTCCAGATCTATATACAGAAAAACCAATGTCTTCAGAACAGTAGGAGGATACTGACAGAAATCAGAGGTTTGGATGTTTTTCTTCTAGGTCCAAAACTATCTAGAGGTATGTGCACTGAAATAAACTCAAAGTATTTATCATGCCAGAGGTATCCGTCAACATATAACACAACCTTGGGCAGCTTATAACTTCTCTGTGCTTTGGTTTTCTCATCTTTAAAATTGGAATAATTCTACTTACCTTAAAGGTTTGTGAGGATTAAATGCATTTAAAATGGTAAGAACAGTGCCTTATACATAGCCCTGTGTTTGTTTTCATCCTCATGATATCATAACAACAGCTGAAAATACAAAGATTCAAGTAGTACTCTGATACTACTTATAGATCTAAAATGGATTAGGGAAAATATGTGATTACTTGGTGTATGTTGATTTTTATGGCTGAGATTATAAAAGATAGCTATCATACTCTCCCTTAGGTAATGCCATTGTCAAATATGATGAACTGGGTGGATCACTGGTGAGATCAGAAATGTAAAGTGTTGCTTTTTATTCATTAATCTAGAAACTAAGAAGTTATTAGCTCGTTAATTTTAAGTTAGCACCAAGTTAAGGTAATAGGCAGTGTAAACTTTTTTTTTTTTTTTTTTTTTTTTTTTTTTTTTTTTTTTTTTTTTTTTTTTGGCGATGGAGTCTTGCTCTGTAGCCAGGCTGGAGCACAGTGGCGCAGTCTTGGCTCACTGCAACCACCGCCTCCTGGGTTCAAGCAATTCTTCCACCTCAGCCTCCCAAGTAGCTGGGACTACAGGCACGTGCCAAACACCCAATTAATTTTTGTATTTTTAGTAGAGACAGGGTTTCACCATGTTGGCCAGGATGGTCTTGACCTCTTGACCTCGTGATCCACCTGCCTCGGCCTCCCAAAGTGCTGGGATTGGAAGTGTAAACTTTTAAAATATGATTTACTTGGTTGCTTTCAAAGAACCCAATATAATTTTCTTTGTAAAATGATTTTGACATGAAGTAGCAGAAAAAGCTCCAAACTTAGAGTATGACCAATGTTCTGGCTTCACAGTTGGAAGTAAAATTAAAACTCTATGGTTCTTTCCAATTCTTAATATCCTGTGATTATTTTTAGCCCTCTCCTAAAATAATGCTGTCATTTTATAAAAACTTCAATAGATTTGAGGTCTGTTACAGAAGCACCTTTTCTCACATGAAAACACATCAGCATAGTGGTAAGAGTTCTCAACTTTCTAGTTTTCTTGCAGGCAAAGCTTGACTTGATGGTTATAGACATAGGTTCTGACAGGAACTTAGTAATACCGCTTTTTAAAATTATTTCAACTGACTCCTTTTCCTACTGTGGCATTGTTATGTGAAGTCAAATGTACCTGAATGTGTCCTATTCTGTTACTCAACTCACTTCTGAATTCGATTCTATTTTGCTTACCTCCAACTACATAACCATTCTGAATCTCGTTTCACACTGCTCCAGTGACAACTTAATTCATAGACCAAGCTAGTGAGGTAAGAAAAGTAAACTTCCCAAGTTTATATAATAAACTCTGATTTGTTATAAAATTAAGGTAAACTACATATGGTTTAAATACACAGACACACACACGTACACGGCTGAAAGCTTGATGGATTTTTGGATTCGGTTGAATAGCACCACTGAAAAGATGACTTTTTAATTTTTTTCTTAGAATTGCGGCGAGCAGTAAGAAGCAGCGTGTGGAAAAGAGAGACGATTGTTCATCAACATGAGTATGGACCAGAAGAAAACCTAGAAGACGACATGTACCGGAAGACTTGTACTATGTGTGGCCATGAACTGACATATGAAAAAATGTGATTTTTAGTTCAGTAACCTGTTTTATAGAATTATACATTTAAATAAAGGAAATTAAGATTGGTCCTATTCAAAATTTAAGAAAATGCAATGTCTTCAAAGATGAATGAAACCTTTATATAAGTAATGCTTCAGTAACAATTATGTATGTTACTGCTTAAAAGCAAGTTTGAGTGAAGGTCCACCTGGCCTGGTTGTGTGCAGAATGTCATGTCTGTGATTGTTTTCTTACAACCAGGGATGGGAGCTGAGTGCTAGAGTAGGTGCAAAAGTGGTAGGTCAGCTACAAATTTGAGGACAAGATACCAAAACAAACCGTAGACTTTGGTACAGGGAAAAGCTTTCAAAAAAGACCGTAGCCAGCTGAACTGGATTCTTAACCAAGAAACAAATAGCAATGGTGGTGTACCACTGTACCCAGGTTCTGGTCATGTTTTTTTAGGACAATTTCTGTCTCCACGATGGCGGAAACAGTGGGGAACTATTGCTGGGAAACGCCCTGATAAATAGCAGAAATAAAACAATGGAGTTTGATCATGTAACCGCTAGTTAATGAGCATATATTATCGAGGCCACTATATTACAGAAAATAGATTTGTCTTGTTAAGGGATGCTTCTATTGACTCTCTACCCTTATCAGTTTAAGACAATCCTAGTGTTCATACATCACTAACAGCTAAATCTGCTCTACCTAGGTTGGCAAGGTCCCTTCCTCATCTTTCATTTTCAAGTATAATTATAAATTAGGAAAACAGTTATGTTTACTTTGACAAAAGCATGTTAAATTGCATCAGTACAATTTAACAATATTTATTGCAAGGTATGACATACAGTGACATGCCTGCCATCTTTTGTCTGTGTGAACTTCATCAGTGGGGACAGCAACTGCTGAATGTTTGCTCTTACACCTTTGTTTCTTCAAAACTCAATTCCTAGTTCAGTTTTTCTATACACTTAAGCTGCTAGACTGGGACAGAGCAGGATCACATCAGCGAATAGTTGTTAAAAGCAACCATTATACATGAAGAGAGGACCAAGAAAAAAAATTAAAACCTACAAATTTCTGTAGGATGTGGATCAAACATAACTAGCCACACTTTTCAGTACATTGTGAAAAAAGATTACAAAGCAGTTTAGACTCAAAGTTACCAATGCCTTAAAGGTTAGTTATCCTTTGGTTTTCTGAGGACAGGAGTCATTTCAAACTACAGTTGACCCTTCAACAACATGGGGTTAGGGATGCCGACACCCCGCACAGTCAAAAATCTGCATGTAACTTTCTACTCCCCCAAAACTTAATCACCAATAACCCAATGCTGAATGGAGACATAGCGATAACAAACAATTAACTCATTTTGTGTGTTATATGCTATATTCTTATAAATAAGATAGAGAAAAGAAAATAAAAATATATTTACTATTTAATTAGTGGATCATCATAAAGGTCTTCATCCTCGTCATCTTCATGTTGAGTAGGCTGAGGAAGACAATGGGTTGGTCTTGCCATCTCAGGGGTGGAAGAAAACCCGTGTGTAAGTGGACCCACACAGTTCAAACCTATGTTGTTCAAGGGTCAACTGTAATTACATATAATTACATAGTTTGTGCTGTGCTTAGGCAATGGGAAGGAGAAACAGTATAAACGAGAATACTTAGCCAAGAACCTAGGTTTCAGTCCTCTAGTAACCTGCCAGGCACCTGGATTTTTCTGAATAATTGCTTTGTATTTTGTCTTAAATAGTCTAGTATTTAAAAACCCTAGGAATTCCCATCTATTAAAGTGCACTACATTCTGTAGCCACTAAAATGGATGGTAAACCAAAGCAAAAATACATCAAAATATGGAAAATGCTTAATGCATCATAAACTTGAAATGTAATAAGAGAAAAATTATATCTTTTGTGCAAATGCACAAATACACTACCAGTAGTTGTACTGGTAATTTTTTTCTAAGGTTTAGTGAAAAAAGTCTTAATAATACTAGAAATTTGGAATGTCAGATAATTCCTTATACTTGCATATTATTTTACAACCCATTGTCATCTTATTTCAGCATCAATACCACAGGAAACAAGCTAAGGACTTCGTAGTTTTTTGGACCAGGTTCCATAGAAACAAAATCTGAACTCACCTTCAATTCCAGATACAGTTTCAGTCAATCTGACCACTTCTATGTCCACTTTAGTATTCCGTAACTCACTACAAGATCTTGGACAAACCCAGAGGCTAGAGGAAGTCAGTAGATGCTCTAAGATAATGGTGACCAAACCTGGAATCACGTGGAGGAACTTTAAGGATTACTAAGGTGTTCCACCCTCAGATTGTGGTTTAATTTCAAAATAACTTGAAAGATTCCCAGCTGATTTACATTCAGACAAATCTGAGAACTACTGTTCCAACTCATGTAACACTTATACTAACAAGTTGTGTCTTAAGATACTACTTAAAATATTTTGAACAGATTTTGTAAAGAAAATTTCAAATGGAGAACACCTTCAGTAAGAAACCACCAGTTTAAGACAAAAAAAAAAAAAAAAAAAAAAAAAAAAAAAAACACTTTTTTTAAAAAAAAAAAAAAAAAAAAGGAAACAAACCCTACCAGTTTTAGAGATTATAAATCATGAAGTGCCAAAGTTTAAAAACCATACTTTTAGTTTTATTTCAGCCATGTTATCCCCAAGCTGTGAAAAGTTATACTACTGAGTAAACCCATCAGTTCTATATACTATGTAAGGTTGACCTCTACTGTTTCACATACCTCACACCAGTTATTTTGTGCCTTAAGAAAAAAATACCAAACCGATCACAGAAAAGTCGTATCTGTCACATATAGAATACATCATGGTCATCGTCACATTACTGTCGTAGGAAGTATTTGCTTTTCAGGGCAATTAAAAGTAATGCCATGTTATTCACTGCCCTCTTTTCCTTTTTTTCCTTTAAGAAGTGAAAGGATACTACAAGAAAGCAAGCATTCAAACCATCAAAAAATAAGAAATTATTTTAAGATATTAAAAAAAAAATCTTGACATGAGGGGAAAAATGACCCTTAGGCCTGCAGGGCACAGAACTGCTGGAACACGGCCAAGATATGAGGGTCTAATTCAGCAGTGAAGAGAAGGTTCTCCAGGGTCACCATGTACTGCTGGATTATCTGGTGATGCTGTGGACACAGAAAAGGGGGTAGTTAGGTCAGGAAAAAGCATGTAAGCTATCTAGTTGAACACTTCTTTCAACAGCCCTCCCATGCTGCAGCATGATGAGAAGAGGTAGGGGAAAAAAAAAAAAGTGCTGACAGGAATAATGGACTGCTGAAAATCCCCAATTTTTTGCATTTCCCTTTTTATTTTATGTTATTAAAAAAAATAAAAAGGGAAATGCAAAAAAATGGATGCTCAAGAGATTTTTAAAAATCCAGTTCTCAGCTACTCGGGAGGCTGAGGCAGGAAAATCGCTGAGTAGAGATCGTGCCACTGCACTCCAGCTCAGATAACAGCATGAGACTCTGTCTCAGAAAAACAATAAAAATCCAATTGTTACCAACTTCTGTGTAAACAGAATTCATGATTCAATGAATGTCCTGATTGGGGAGAGAGCCAGCTGAGCCTAGTCTGCCACGTTGCAGTGGCAGCAATGCCTGGTTGCTGCTAGTACTACTGCAGACTAGGCTCAGCTGGCTCTCCCCCCAATCAGGACATAATACATTATGACTTTTTAAAAAGCAGCCAGACAGGGACTGACAGGAAGATTAAAAAGAGTCAGAAAATGAAATACTCTATTGATTTAATTTTTTTTGAGACAGTCTTGCTCTGTTGCCCAGGCTGGAGTGCCTTGGTCTGATCTCGGCTAACTGCAACCTCCGCCTCCCAGGTTCACGCGATTCTCCTGCCTTAGCCTCCCGAGTAGCTGGGATTACAGGCGCCCACCACCATGCCTGGCTAATTTCTGTATTTTTCGTACAGATAAGGTTTCACCATGTTGGTTAGTGCTGAGATTACAGGCGTGAGCAAAAGTGTTCAGCCTGAAATACTCTGTGTGTTCCTCTATAAGCCATTAATATACTCAGAAATTCTTATAGGACTAGACACTGGGAAAGCTTTTAAAACTGGCAGTAACTGGCCAAGCGCAGTGGCTCACACCTATAATCCCAGCACTTTGGGAGGCTGAGGCAGGTGGATCACCTGAGGTCGGGAGTTCGAGACCAGCCAGACGAACATGGAGAAACCCCGTCTCTACTAAAAATACAAAATTAGTTGGGCATGGTGGTGTACGACTGCAATCCCAGCTACTTGGGAGGCTGAGGCAGGAGAATCACTTGAACCCATGAGGTGGAGGTTGCAGTGAGCCAAGATTGCACCATTGCACTACAGCCTGGGCAACAAGAGAAAAACTCCATCTTAAACAAAACCCCCCAAAATTGGCAGTAATATAAAATCAGGAATTCCTAAATAAATAAAAAATAGGGAATTCTGATTTGGAGGCTCAAAGAATTGAACTTAAAAAAAGGGGGGAAGGGATAGCATTAGGACAAATACCTAATGTAGATGACAGGGTGATGGATGCAGCAAACCACTGTGGCATGTGTATACCTATGTAATAAACCTGTACATTCTGCACATGTACCCCAGAATTTAAAGTATAATAAAAAAGAAATTTAAAAAATGAATTCTACATTAATCATTCTCCTAGAATGAACAAATGAAGACTTAAGGGAGTAGCGTCTTAAGACACAATTAGTTCCACTTCCCTATATATCTTTAACTTAAATCTGGTTGAGAATAGGTGCTGGCATTTGCTTTTGCAGACAGACCCTAGGGAGCTTACCTTGATTCTGTGGACGCTGTTTATCATCTGAACACTGGAGTTTTAGGGACTTATAAATCCAATGACTGTACTCTTGACATTTTTGTCTTCTATATTTTATATTATAGCTAGGATCCCTAGCATAGAAAATGGCAAGTAGGAGACTGGGCACTGTGGCTCATGCCTGTAATCCCAGCAGCACTTTGGGAGGCCGAGGCAGACCACCTGAAGTCAGGAGTTTAAGACAAGCCTTGACAACATGGTGAAACTCTGTCCCTACTAAAAATACAAAAATCAGGAGTAGTGACAGGCGCCTGTAATCCCAACAATATGGGAAGCTGAATGAGGAGAACTGCTTAAACCTGGGAGGTGGAGGCTGCAGTGACCTGAGATTGTGTCACTGCACTCTAGTCTGGGCAACAGAGTGAGACTCCATCTTAAAAAAAAAAAGCAAGGTGGGGAGAGGCATTAGGAATCTAAGTGGTATAGAATCAGTTTAAGCCTAAATATTCTGATGAGCAATGGTAGCTGCAAATGGACATGAACTAAAGGGTCTAACAGGTAGTATGTAACCTCCTAACAAATTTGACAAGGATTGTTTTCAAATCAAAAATCTTTGTTGCTGAGAATAGTGCCGTTTATTATCTAATTGAAGTTCCCCATGTACCTGTAGGAAGATCTGCTGCAGCCTCTCTATACAGTTCTTATACCATGGTGTTAATACACTGGTCCCATCAGTTTCGCATCGTACTAAGTGCTCAGTCAAGATCATGATAAACCGCTGGAAAGGGAGAAGGAAATTAAGGTAATACTAGAGATAGAATCTTATACTTCGGAAAAAAAATTAATGACAAAGAAACCCCAAACTACTGCTCATTCCACCCTGTCTTTGTGGTGTGTGCTCCTAACTTTCATTATTCATTAAGTCAACCTAGAAAGGCAGACTGGTAATAACATGAGTTGGTACATAGTTCCTGGCAATAGAGTTGGTACATAGTTCCTGGCAATACATAAAGACCTTTAATGTCTTAAATTACTTATCCTAGAAATATTACTTCTTGACATCTAACAAAATAATCAGAAATGTTAATAGGAATCTATGCATCAAAATGTTCATGGAAAAAAAATGACCAGCAAAGAGAATAATTAAATGAGATGTATTTAACAAAAGCAACCCACAATTTTGTTTTAAAGCATGGAGAAATGCTCATGCAAGAATGTAAACAGCAGAGAAACTCAGAGACATACATGGCTGCCTGAGTAGTGAACTTTTATTTACTTCCAAATTTTTATATTTTTAATCTCTTCTATAAATGTGTATTCCTTTTACAATTAAAAATAGTATTTTTAAAAACTAAAACCAAGGAAATGTATTGTTTCCTTTTATGTATAAATGTCCCAAGCCAAGATACCTGAAATATGACGAGGAAGAGATTCTTTTGTTCACTCTGAGCAGATTCCACTTTTTCCTGAAGTCTTTCTATTTGTTCCTCAAGAGCCCCATCTTTCCTATCACTGCTTCTGTCATCATCATCACTTCGCTACACAAGGCAAGAGAACAAAAGGAAAATACCATTTAGAATTCCAGTGTATGAAATCCCCTCCAGGGGAAGGATTTTATTGTGGCTGGCCAAATGTTAAAGGCTTATTATATTCTGTAGTAAAAGTACCCCCAACCCCACCACCCACACATATATACCTCAAAGTCCTGTTGTGGTTCAGAAATACTGTCTTCTCACTTAGAAATTCCATGGGTTCTTATCTAGGCCAGGGAAATTTCGTGGCACTTTTCTCGGTAACAACGTGGGGGACTTGGCTATAATCTATCACTATTTGACTGAGTAGTAACAACAAAGAGGCAGCTTCCTAATCATTCATCTCCTAATGGGCCATATAAAAAAACTGGGCCAGTCCTATGCATCAAGGCTGCTCATTCTTGCCATAATTTAGAAATGGCTACATAGTTTAGAAATGACATACAATAATTCAAAGTGGCTGTTTAACACTTTCTGCTGGCAATGATGGGGGTTCAATATATTCCTGTAAAGCTTTAGTAATTCCCTCCTAGCTCACTCTGAAGAGTTTATAGCATTTTGATTTTTTTTTTTTAAAGGAAAAGAAAAACACAGCATGGTTTACTTCCATTTTACAGAGAAGGGAACAGGCTGAGAGGTTAGATGACTTTTCCAGTACCACCCAGCCTGAAAGTGGCAGAGCCAGAACGTGGCTCTAGGTATTACATACCAAGGTACTTTCAGCAAGAAGGTGGCATCACTGAAACTAGAAAGCCGGGAAATTCTTTGAGGTGATACTTACCGCTAAGGGCCCATCTACTGGTCTCCTCTACGCTTTAAGCAAAATGGTCAGAACCCCATTCTCGGATTTCATAGAATCTTGCTTTTCTCTCTATAAACACAGCCCCTGTTTATGAAGTCTGCTTTATGTTCTAGAAACTTGAGTACATGACTGTCTTTTCCTAACACCACTCTAAGGTAAGGTTCTAGAGCACTACTACCTAACCTTTCTTCAACGGGGCAAACGTTATATAAATATGTGCCGCCTCTTACAACAGCCACCACGTTACTACTTAGCACCTGAAATGTGGCTGTGTGACCAAAAAACTGAATTTTAAATTGTATTTAATTTTAATTAAACTAAAATGGTCACATGCAGCTAGTGGCTACTGGGTTGGACAGCACATTTCTGAAACAGCGTGGCACGAGAGAAAGTCTCTGGAGTCTGACAGACCTGGGTCAGAACCTAGCTCAGTCATTTACTAGCTATGCAACCTACTAGCTATGTTACTTAATTTCCCTGTGTCTCACTTTATACATTTACAAAATGAGATAACACCATTTACCTTACAGTATTTTAGGTCTGCGAGTGTTTATATCCATATATGTATACATGTATGTCTATGTGGAGACTAGTACTCAAACTTGCTCAAGGTTTCTGTAAGGCATCAAACCCAGCTTTTATTTTTTTACCTTCTACTTTGATAAATATGCATAACAACAGAAAATACTGTCATAAAGAATAGTAGTAATATCTAAGTCACAGAACGCAGCCAGCTCACTGCTTCCCTCCAAAATGGCTAAAATACTAAACTTAATACTATGAGAAGCATTCTGTTAAGTTGGGATTGACTGTCCCATTCCTCCTCATAGTATGGGGAAAGTATAAATATCTATAGTCTATAGTCTGCTCCCTCTTCCTCCAGAGACTTCTACAAAAATACAAGTGTTTTCTTCCCTTCTGCTACTTCCCTTGTGCAAACACAAGGCTGACCCAGAGATGGCGAACGATGGAAAGTGAAGTTTGTGGCTTCCTGAACTGGTCATCATGCAGTGTAAATGCACACAACACACTACCTGCTCCTTCCTCCTCCTCTGCTTCTGCGAACAGCTCTGCATAATTTGGGCTCAGAAAAAATGAAATACCATCAAGATAATGAACTCTGAATTCTCTCCAGAGTTTCTGGTATATTTTCTTTAACTATTTACAAGTTGACACAAAACTTACCCGTTTGTGTTGCCTTGCAAGTTTCTCTTTAGCTTCTTCTAGCTCTTTCTGGATCTTCAAGACATGTTTGTTCATCTTACGAATTGTAGAGTGCAAGATTTCCCAAACAAACAATCTTAAAGAAATATGGCATTTGATGATTGTATGTCAAACTATCATTACAGAAAATAAAACCTTTCAACTTTTATAATCTATTCATTCTTAACAGCTGATACAGCCTTCTGTCCTTTGGGCTGAATTAGTCATATTTCTCCAGCAATACTTATGAATTGTCTTTTACTGTAAATTGTGCAAGTATCTATCTTCACACCTGTTAGATTCAGGTGGGTCCCCCGAGGGCAGTATTGTGTAGTCATTTTTCTTATTTCCATCCCTTACTAGAGGTACATACTCACTGAATTGAAATGACAAACTATAATGAACACTAACATTAAAAATGGAAATAATTTTTCCTCTCTTAAATGTAAACAATAAGTATAGAAATTTTCTCAAAATGGTGACCTAAGGTGAGACTCATTTCACATGCTTTATACTATTTAACTAGCACACACTCAGCCAATTATTCTCTTGGAACATTTAAAACTCATCAGTTGATAATAGGTATCAACTAATGGGCTCTAAGTACGAGACAATTAAATGTCAGCTTTCTAACTAGCAAATACATACTAAGATCACTTTGTAGGTGCTTTAAAATGTTTGTTATATAAGCGTTTCTTTTGTTTATTTTTTAAGTAGCTTCTTAGCTACTTTTGTATCTATCTGCTAGGTCCCCTAACCCAGTACAGAATAGTACAGTTGGCCCTTGAACAACACAGGTTTGAACCGTGGAGGTCCATTTCACATGGGTTTTCTTCTACCTGAAACAAGACCAACTTCTCCTCTCCCTTAGCCTATTCAATGTGAAGATAATGAAGACCTTTCTGAGGATCCACTCTCACTTCACGAATAATAAATGTTTCCTCTTATGGTTTGCTTAATAATTTTCTTTTCTCTAGCTTATTTTACTGTAAGAATATACTATATAACACACAACACAATCGACTATGTTATCACTAAGGCTTCTGGTCAATAGTAGGCTATTAGTTAAATTTTCTATGCAGTCAAAAGTTCCATGCAGATTTTTGACTGTGTTGGGGTGGGGTGGCTGGGAGCGAAATTGGTGTCTCTTAACTCCTGATATTGTTCAAGAGTCAACTGTACTTACTTCCACAAATTTTGACCCAAATAACAGTTTAAGTGGAAAATAATAAAACAATCTGTTCATAAAACTCCAAGTCTAGAATGTTAGGAAATAGGATAAAAGAGCACAGCCAGCACGTCTGGAGGGCGTGAGAGTAGTCAGGGAAAGGTTTGTAGGATTACAAATATTTGAGAGAGGTGTTAAAGAACAGATGGAGCTGTTGAGCATTATACAGATTCCAGAATGGGTTTGAATGCTGGCTCTGCGCTTAGCTGTTTGACTCTGGGCAGGCTAAAGCACTCTGTGACACTTCTCTATTCTGTAAAATGTGGACAATAATGGAATCTCCTCTATGGTGATGTGGTAAGTTACGTTAAAATAAATTGAAAATGTAAATCACTCAGGACAATGGTTAAAACATACTAGGGTGGTTAGCTTTCTGAGAATTTACAAATATGAAAAGGTCCTTCTGTTGTCAATTGTGAAAGCCAACATGGCTGGTATGACAACCTTAGATCACACTCTATCACCCTAGCCATTCAGTATATTTCAGGCCAGTGTCCTCTGGCAGTAACAGATACAGTGGAAAAGTTAAAAGCTGTGATGGATTTTCGTTTTCACAACTAATTTGCTTTTGTTTTCTGCTTTGTGTGAACTCCTGCTGTCCTGGTCCTATCAACTGTAAAGTCCGTGGAATTTCACAAATAATAATCAAATAGCAAATACTTTCTTTCCTTAGGGAGAATAAGTGCAGAATGAATCTTCTGCATTGAACCTAAGATTATGACTGTGGTAAGAAGCCCTTTCCCCCATCCCAAGCTTTCCTGGATCCCTCCATGATTTGTATTTAACCTACTTTCACCTTGGTTTCTCCTAGTTCCTGGTGTGCATTCTAGACGCCATCCCCACTGAAGCTGGAACCCTTCCCAGATCCCACTTTGCACATAGTTGGCTCTTGCTAGTTTTCTCTCCCAACAGTCTGGATCCTTCAACAGCATTTCTCCTTCACTGGCTTAGTCTTGATTCAACTTATGATTGCGTCCCCTAAGAGATGCTGCAACCCAACAGGCTGTGTATGTTTCTACTGTCTAGGAATTTTTGCCACATCCAATCCTACCAGACTGGACCATTAGTATATTAATATCAAACTAGGTTGGACCAGAATTTGAAGCTAATGTATGAGACCACACATAAATCAATTCTTAGAGAATACAAGTTTCATAAAGTAATTCACATTACCTGGTAAAGTCACGAGATAGTTCTGAAGAGAAGATCCAATTTGCTACTGCAGCACAATCAACTATTTGTGTACGAATCATCTTATCCACTAGCACAGCAATCATCTACAAAGAAAGAAGAATTATATGAGTAACACACACACACACAGCAAGACTGCTGCTATAAAAGTAAAATAGGAGAGCTATAAAATTCAGTTTTGGTGGCTATGGAATTGATTGATCAATTTGACCATTGTGGGGAGTCTTGCTCTGTTGCCCAGGCTGGAGTGGAGTGGCACAGTATCGGCTCGCTGCAACCTCAACCTCCTGGGTTCAAGCAATTCTCCTGCCTCAACCTCCTGAGTAGCTGAGATTACAGGTTACACCACTATGCCCAGCTAATTTTTGTAATTTTAGTAGAGATGGGGTCTCACCACGCTGCCCAGCTGGTCTCAAACTCCTGGACTATAGTGATACGTCCACCTCAGCCTCCCAAAGTGCTAGGATTACAGGTGAGAGCCACCACACCTGGCCACACCATTAGGTCTTAAGATTTATTCTGCCCTTTGCTTTGCTCTAAGCACTACAAGAAACAGGTTGACTAAACAAAAACTCTGAATGGTAACAGTTAAAATGAAAACACTGGCCGGGCTCATATCTGTAAGCCCAGCATTTTGGCAGGCCGAGACGGGTGGATCACCTGGTCAGGAGATCAAGTCTAGCCTGGCCAACATGGTGAAAACCTGTCTCTATTAAAAATA